ATTCCGGAAGGGGTAGATGTCGACTTGGAGGAGTTGAAGCGGTTGGTTTCCCAGGGTACTTTGTTGGTGTTGCCGAATTCGAAACATTTGTTGGTGAGGAAAGAATTAAAAGCCCCTGCAGAAAATCGAAATAATCCAGGGCAATTTGAGAGATTGGTGGGTGAAGAGCCAGTTCGGACGTATGTGCCTAGGATGTTGAGACCGTGGGTCATGGATTGTGCCCACAAGGAAGCGGTGCATTTGGGAGAGAAAGTGACTTACGGTATTTTACAGAGGATTTTCTGGTGGATAGGAATGGCTGAAAGCGTGCGGTGGTGGATCCGAAGGTGTTATTCTTGTCAGTTTCGGAAGGTGCCGCGGCATACGAAGTGTTGGCCGTTAGTGTCTACGTGTTTCTGGTGGTAGATTTATTCAGCAGGCATGCCGAGGGGTACCCACCAACGAAGGCGCAGAAAAATGCGAAGGGTTTTGTGTCTATTATGGTGAACGACTATATCGCGAGGTGGGGTTGTCCGCACACCATGTTGTCAGATAGGGGAGCAGAGTTTTCGAATGAGGTAGCGAAAGGGGTGTATAAGATGCTGGGAACTGTGAAGAAGTTTACTAGCTCATATCATCCGCAGACGAATGGGATGGTGGAACGTTTAAATCACACGCTGTGTCAAATGTTGTCGCACTTGATTGCGGACGATCAGGCGAATTGGGATGAGATGTTACCACACGCGGTAGCGGCACACAACAATAACGTGAGCCGAGGGACGGGGCTAGCACCCAACGTAGCACACATCGGGAGGTACCCAAGGTTGCCGATGACGATCTTGGAGGGAAGGGGTGTTTCGGGAAATCAGGGCCTAAAGCAAGACCAATTGGATTATTTGAATTTGATGAAGGATAAGCAAAGGAACGCGTACGAGCTGATAAGAGAGCAGGATAAGATAACCAAGGCTAAGCATGAGAAGAGCAATCAGGTGTTGAACTCGATAATAGGTAAGAGGCCGAAGTACAAGGAGGGGGACTGGGTCTTGGTGTATGATGAGAAGAGTACAATTTCTGGTGGGGGGAAACATGTGCTTAAATCGGTAGTGAATAGTAGTGGGAAAGAAAAATCGTTCGCGTTGATCCCGAAGTTGGCCCATGATTGGACCGGGCCGTATAAGGTGTTGATCGTGGGTCCAGGGGATGGTCTTGACGGAGAAAAGGTGGGCCCGAATATTTTGTTTTTGGACGTGAATAAGGATGAGCCCGGAAAGAACATTAACGAGAGGGTGTCGGTATATCGGTGTAAGAAGTGCTATACTCAGCACGAAAACGAGGATAGACCTAGGTTCTTGCCGTGGGGCTTTTGCAAGTATGTGTTGAAAAAGTTTTCAGAGTTAGCGCCTCAGTTCCACCTTACGGCAGAGGACGTGGAGGAAGAATTGGATAGTAAAGAATTGGTCCCGTGTAAAATATCAAGGCACAGGATTTGTCGAGGTATTAGTGGGAAGGGGGCGGTTCAGTACTAGAATGTACCTGGTGATGGAGTCATATTGAATTGGTGCCACGGTCTTGGCGGAATTAGAGTTGAATTCTGGTGATTACTGTTCGGACTTGCTGCAAGAAAATGACATTGATTGTAGGTCAGGTATTGCACGTTACGGTCAAGTGTTAATTCAAACGAGACTGATCGCAGATAAGTATGCGTTGAACCTGGGGGGGGCGAACGTCGTGCAATAAGTCAACCCTAGGTTAGGTCAGGGTAAGAAGACTTGGGGTAGTTTAATCGCAGTTTATATGTTGAAGCGTGATGGAATGGAAGGTCAAGGAAAGAGTATGAGGTGGAGACTAGAATTGAGAAGGTGTTGGTTTATGGTTGGAATGATGAGCTTATGAGGGAATCATAAGTTATTTTGGGCTCAGAGTAACTGATCATACGTCAATCTAACTATGAAGATTGTGCTTATGAACTGAACAACACCTAGTAGGTGAGACAGTACCTGCTCGATCTACTTCCATTTTAAAGCTGCTCCCATACTGTATGTTTGGACGACAGAATACCCTGAATATCCAAGTCTTTATTTAGTACATTACTCAACTGATTCTCTGAATTGTCCCATACAACACACAAGTCACACGAATAAACTAACACCACAGAACAACAGATTGCAACATACAACTTCAAACACACAACAATCCAAGATACACACACCAAAAATAAAGCAATTAAACATCAAGACCATCACCGATAATGAAAACATCGAGGCGAGGCCTTTACATCCCTATAAAACCATAGTAACCGTTAGGCCAGAAGGGACCATCTCGTTAAAATAATACTTTATATGGCCCCGTCCAGCAACAAGCCAGTTTAGCCAACAAAACAAAGGACTTTCGGTCTCCCGATTTAAGATCTTGGGGCTTTAGAACAACATGTTTTCCTCCTCCGGTAACAACACTTTGGTCATTGTACAGCCACACCCAATCTCCTTCAATTTTTGGCCTTCGGTTCCCTATTTTCTCCTTTAGGGCTTCGTTTTTCTTTTCATGTTTTTCCTTTATCAACCTGTCCTCCTCTTTGACCAATCGGTATGCCTTGATTTGTCTTTCCCGCATCAGCTTGAGGTAATCCAACTGATCCTGCCTCAGGCTTTGGGGACCTTTCACGCCACGACCTTCCAAAATCGTCATGGGTAACCTGGTATACCGGCCTATATGCACTTCGTTGGGGGACAAACCCGTTCCTCTGCTGACATTGTTGTTATGGGCTGCAATAGCAATTCCCAACCACTCATCCCAATTTTTCTGATCATCTGAAATCAGGTGAGACAACATCTGACAAAGAGTATGGTTCAACCTCTCCACCATGCCATTTGTTTGCGGATGATAAGCGCTAGTAAACATCTTTTCAGTCCCCTGCATACGATAAACCGCTCTGCTAACAGGGGCAGTAAATTCTGTACCTCTGTCAGACAAAAACGTATGAGGACATCCCCACTTTGGAATGTACTGATGTACCAGTACAGAAGAACATCCTTGGGCTGTCTTCTCTTCGGCGGTCAAAGCATATGCTTCAGCATATCTGCTGAATAAATCCACCACAAGGAACACATACTGCTTTCCATTCTGAGTTTTAGGTAAAGGGCCTAAAAAATCAAAAGCCACCATTTCACCAGGTCTACTCGGTAAGGGTAATGATGCCAATGGCCACCTTTTTGTGTGTCTAGGTGTCTTCCTAGCCTGGCATGCATAGCAAGCGCGGCACCACCACTTGACACTTTGGCTTTGACCAACCCACCAATAAAACCTTTTCAGGATTGCAAGGGTAACTTTCTCACCGAGATGAATGGCTTCCCGATGTGCACAGTCCATCACCCAAGGTCTCAGAAGTATCGGCACGTAAGTTCGTACAGGCTCTTCTCCAAGTAACCTCTCGTACTCTCCAGGATTCCTGTTAGGCCGATCAGCAGGCATTGTGGTTAAACTTTTTACCAACAATTTCTGTCCCCCTGCTAACTCCAGGAGTTCGCCTTGTGCCAATATCCTTTTAACTTCCTCAATGTCAACGTCCTTGGGTAAGTCACCCTCTGTAACTTCAGACATTTTGGTCCCTTTCTGTAACAGCAGGATTGCCGTTCTGGAAGTTGCATCCTTTTTCTGAGCTTCTGCCCAATCTGTAGCCTTTTTCCTGCAGAGGTTCTTCCCAAAATCCCTCGCTTCTTGACTATCCCATTCTTCAAATGGCATCATG